GTGATTTTCTGTGGCCTCCTCTTTTTAGATACCATCCTTATTTTCATAATGTAGTTAATGAATGACTCATTTTAGGAGTTGAAGAAATTGATTTTCCACATTCTATTTGCTTACTTGGGCCTTTATTATGTATTTTCTAATGAATATCCAAGGTTGAACACCACTGTGTAAGAAGCAACATTGTCTTCTAGGATCATGGTGTTGGGCCAGGTAAAATTAAAGCTTTGCCTTGATCATTCAAGCCCTTGAAGTAAATTATTTGCTTCATTCTTACTTTGGCATTTTTCTCACTGTTTTATTACTTAGATAAGTGATCACCAAAATTCCCTGATCACACACATCCAACAATAAAAATGTTTGAGCAAGTTTTACAGGTGATATTATCAGTATATTTTATTTATAATTTATTTGTATCAACTAGTATGCTATTATATGTATTTATAAAAATACATAAACATAGTAATTACTAAAGGATGAGGAAAAGCATAAATATAAATGGAATTTTAAGTATTTTCTTTCTAATGCCCATCTTCCATGCACTCTGTTGGTATACCCCCCTCCCCAATTTTGGAAAACACTAGTATGAAGTAAACTCATTACTGAACAAGGTGTAACAGAAGAGGACCAAACATAGTAACAAGTAATCTTCCTGCACCTCCTCAAACACATATATGTGTGCACATATTTCAAATTGCCAATTCTAAATTTTCTGTCTTTTGTTAAATCGGTGTATCTATTGTCTACTCATAGATCTTAATGGGTATTTGCAAAAATGCAACCTAATGAAAACAATTTGAAGAAGTCATATATCAAACATTTATATTATAGAGGTATTATCCTTATTATTAAACTTTTTGCCATCAAAACTAAATTATTGATATGTAATCTTCAAAGAAGGAAATATTTTCTATGAGGAGTTTCTATATATATGTGAGGGAATCTGCATTAGGAAATTTTATCAATTTATTTCAATTTTATGCTTAAAGATTTCTTTTTAAAGAAACACTAAGACTGTTAAATAATAACAATGGTTTATATTTATAGTCATTTGCTTCATTGAATTCTCATGAACAGCCCATTAGAGTCAGTTATGATTTTCAATTTACAGATGAGGAAATTGAGGCACAAACAGTTTAAGCTCATTGTTAGCCTGTTATCTTTTACACAAAATTTTTTTTGACAATTTGCCTTCAGAGCTGATTTGTTAAGCACATGAGAAAATTTCTTTTCATTTTTATAATTTCAACTTTTATTTTAGATTAAGGAATACATGCGCAGGTTTGTTACATATACAAATGTTTAATGATCCTTAATTTACAACGTAGAGTTATTTAAGGGAGATTGCTACAATATCAAATTTTAAAAGATATTTTGTTTCCTAGAGTTTAACTCAAGCTTGTCCAACCTGTGGCCTGGGAGCCTCGTGTGGCCCAGGATGGCTTTGAATGTGACCCAACACAGATTCCTAAAGTTTCTTAAAATATTATGTGGTTGTATTATGATTTTTTTCTTTTTATTTTATTTTTTTTTTCTTTTCAGCTCATCATCTCTCATTAGTGTTAGTGTATTTTATGTGTGGCCCTAGACAATTCTTCTTCTAATGCGTCCTATGGAAGCCAAAAGATTGGACACCCCTAGTGAAGTGTTAAATATATATACTTTAGGATGATGGGAAGACTGGTTACGCTGTAGGCCAGTTTACTGTCAGATCAGCTGAGTAATCACAATGCTTCCTCAGTTGATCAAGCCAGAGGGAAGCATGCAGGCCACGTCTGCTTCTGCTTTTTTCCCACTGTCTCATTACATGACCTATTAACTAGCAACCTTTTAAAAAAACAATAACAAATAATTCTTTACTCATGTACAGGTTTGTCAGTGGGTACTAGTAGCATTTTGAGACTTTTTTTTTTTTTTTTTTGCAGAGAGTATACCACGTATTTCAACAACTTGAGCCTTCCACTCACTAAATACTGGGAATGCCTTTCCTCAGTCCTAATTTGCAACTCTCCCTACTGGGAAAGTTACCACAAAAGTTGAGAACCACTGCACTAAGGAGAGAATCAAAATCAGAGTTTTAGAAAAGTGTATGTGAAATGACACATTTTGTGTCTTGAACTTGTAACAGCTAGAGGAACATTCTTATTACATATAAAATCTAATTTATATTCACAAATACTCTACGGAATGTAACTAAAAACAAAATATTCATGGAAGTCGACATTGCTCCTGCTACACATTTTAGATTTCATTTACCTTTTAGCTACAATATCATTGAATAATAAATTCCACAATTAGTTAAAAGAAAACAGGCAGAGAGAGTTAGCAACTTAAGCAATTGGGAAAACCAGACTAAAACTAATTTATATCAAACCCCAAAACTTAACACCTGGTGGATTAGCAAACAAGGGAATTATAACAAAGAATTGCTGTTTTTCCTGAATAAATTGCGAAAACTTACTTTAGTGTTTCATGCAGTCTCTGTTGATATAACTGACCTTAAGGAGAAAAATGATAAGGCATTACTATCACATAATATCTCACCTGAGTATATATTCGTGTACGCCAGTCTTTCTATTTTGTTTGTTTTTTTCAGCTGTGAAAAATGACAATTCCTTAAGGAAGAGATGCCATAATAGATAAAAGACCTTTTTACCCATGGTAAAGAAACATAGCAAAGCTATTATGAATGATGCAGGAAGCTTAGGAAAATGAAAGCTACTATTAACTATGACAGGCTGTCACAACAACAAAAACAGTAATCAATGCAATCATAGCAATAAGATAATATTTGTATTAGTTTCTTCCAAAAAGTTAATGGGCATCTTTTCTAAGTGAACAGTTTGGATAATGTTGGCAAAAACAGGAAAAACTCAGATAAAAATCTCAATGTGTAACATATTAACATTATTTGGAGCCACTACTCTACATATTTTTGTTTTTCTTCAAATTTCCTTTAATTTATATCATTTTTATATCATATTTATGTCATTTTTTCTTTGCTCTTCATGATTATGTTATTATTTTTCTTTATGATCTAATATTCTTGAACTGAGTTTCCTATTACTTAGCTTCAATAAATCCATAATCAGCTAAAGTTGCATTATTTTAGCTTTTCACAGCATATAATAAAATCTGCACTCGTCATTATTTTTCCTATTGTAACAATACCATTACTCTTGCAACTTTAAGCAAGACTGCTGTATAAATATATGATCACCCCACTTGGTATTCAATGAGGCACCTTCATTAGAAGTGTTATTTCAGACAATGATGAAACACTGCAATGTGGAAAATGCCTTGTGTGGGAAACACTGCACACAGACACATATTAGCTGTGTGTTCAATGATAAACATTCCATGCACTCACAAGGAAGTTTGTTTCACTACTCCTTGTAAGTTACTTGGGAGCACTTTCTGACTTACCACTTGGCATTCTCGCCCTGTCTCTTCATGTTCAAGGGACTCCAGCTCTTCCTGATAGGACCCTTTCACTAAGGCCCCATAGAATCAACAACAAAACTAGTTTGTTCACTGTATTTTTTTTTTTCTAAGCTTTCTGTAATCCAGTGCACACTGTATGGGCCTCGCCTGTTAAAATACACATTGTAACTTTACTCTTTCATGAAAATATTTCTGAAGATCTAAGAGATGTGAACTTTTCTTTACCAATAACTTTCTCCATGGAAGCAAGATATATATAGTGTACCAAGTTCCTTTAATTCTGACCCAAGTTCAAAGAAGCCTCAAATTTTAACTTATTTTTGGTGGAGAATTTGTGTCAAGATACAGAGTGAGGTCTCTTCACAAACACAGAACTTGCTAAATCTGAGCATGAAAGGAAAGACCCCAGGATTCAAAATGTGAAGCTATGCAGCCTGAGGCATTTCAGAGTGGCTGGATGAAATATATTCTTTACAGTCATCAGTGTAACTTGTTGGTTTTTTTCTTTGGATGGGTTGGGGGGGGCTCTAGTGCAATTTTTACTTTTCATTGGCCATATCAGTTACCAGTGATGCCCATTCACTGATACTGCAAGTGTATTAAATTTTCTTCTGAGTGATTTTAGGATCTTGAGGTTATTAAGACACCAAATTATGATGTTACTATTCCAAAGTGCAAAGTTTCTAACTCATATTCAGAGGATAGCAATCTCCCAAATAAGAATGTATTCATGATTTGATTTTAGTCTAGGGTGGGAAGAGTTTGTCCTGGTAGTCTCCCAACCACGTGGCAGTGACTCCCCTCCTTAGGCCTCAGTTTGTTGATCTAAAATGAATGTTTTTAACTAGATGATTTCCACACTGTTATTTAGTTCTGACATTCTTTTATTCTATGATTCATTGTATAATTTTGTGGATAAATTTCCAAGCCGCTTACTTTTTCTTTACTTTAAAATATCCTTGTTAAAAATGAAAAAGCATGTGGTTTTACCTTTGCAAACTCTCGTGTCTTGTCCCTAACGGAAAAGTATAACAAATTAATGATTGCGTACATCAATGTGCTTGTCCCTGTTGCAAAAATATGTAATTACTGCATGATGTAAAAGTTTTCCTTATTTTAAACAGTAATAGAGATAGACCTAAAGTAAAGCACTGCTCCTGTTGATGCAGCATATATCAGATCTTATCGTTGCTATTTTCTGCATGCCTGTAACTCATGTGGGCGTGAATTCTGCAAATAAACAACATCAATGACTAGCATTTATATCCGTTTTATTATTCCATAGCACAGCTTTATGTTCTAAATGTAGGTTTAGTACTTTTATCTAGCACTCTGATGCTTCTAACCCTCTTTGATTGTAACTAGTTCGGTAGCTTTCTTTTCAAGACACTAAGTTGATTTTATAAATTTATGAGTAAAAATGTATTCCATCCCTTTAATTTTATAACTTCTTTGTAAAATGTGATGTCTTTGTTGATTTTAGGTTTTATTCCATGTAAATGATCAATGCTTTTCCATAAAGAAGACTTTGATTAATGTCAATTTTTATCTCTTAAAAGGATCCTTCCCGGCCATTGGGGTGGAGGCGTTTTGCCCCAGCTTCCTGAGGGCAGGGTTTTTAAATAGCATCCAGGCCCCGCATCCAGTGCCAGGGGGAGGATCTTTGCCCCCCAGGATTCCTGCTGGTAGGTATTTCAGGTGAAGTTTTCTGCCACCATATACAGCAGTAGGACTCTGGTCATAGTTGATAGGCCCCAAATACAAAATGAGTATTTCTTACATTTATTGTGGAAAAGAAGTATAAGTGACTGCTTAAATGCAGGAACCATATTCATAATACCAAATGCTGTGATAATGGCACAAAGGAAGTGGAAGAAGAATTTGGACTCTGAGCACCCAATTTGCATGTGCTGCCTCCTTTTCTGAAAAATTTTTTTACTTAAGTAAGAATTAGAGCTTCAGATTCAAAATGTGTCACTCAAGAGTAAACAAGGATGGACTTCAGACACTTTACCACTTGGAATTGGCCAGAAAAGTGAATTAAAAAATAAGTGTTCTTGACAGAAAGAGTAATTTCATAGAGTTGATAAAGACTTAATTAAAGTATCCTTTCATTACAGAAAAAAATGATTTGAAGAAACCAGAAAGTAGCAACCTGAAAGACATTTTTTAGAATATACATTAATATGCATTTTTCCCTAAAAATGCCAATCTGACCAAAGCTGTATTTTATTGAGATAAACAAAATATAGGATACTGAGCATTTAAAAATGCAATTTCAAATTTACTAAAACATTTTGCAGGTTTTACATGGCATGATTGTAATTACAATTTGTTTCTTCCCTGACATTTAGTAAAATATCTAGCTGCCTTCCTTCATTGAACCTAAAGGATGCCATCTTACTTTACATTTTATATGTGTCTTAGGAAAATAGAATTTGAATGTCAATTCTTGGAGTTTTAAAATCATAATTCTTGTGATTTTTATTAAAACTAATAATAATGCTAAAAAATTTATTGTAATGACATCAGTGTACTCAGGAGAGCTGGCCCAGCCTGCTATGTAATTTGAACACTTGAACAGACTGGGAAATCCAATAAAAGCAAAAATCCCAACAATGCACATTTCTTGTCCTTGTTAGCATAATTATACCAACAAATCTTAAGACCATTATACACTGATATTTTTCCTTTGCCTTTCAATTACTCTTTTCTACTTAATTAAAGCATATAAATATGCTTTGATGTCATTTAGCTTCATCTCTGGATAGTTTATTGATGTGGTTAGATACTTTGTGGCCAAGAATACCACTGAAAAAGCAGAAACCAAAATTACACGAGTTAAAAGGTTATAAATTTTCACTTTATTGGGTGTTATATTGCCCTTTTTCTCCTTAGAGACAGAAATGATAACAATTGTACAGAAATTTTGTTGTTGATGATGTTGTTGCAAAGGATTAGAAAAAAAAAACTAAGGCAAGCTCTCAGAGTTAACTGCAAATATAAACATGTAGCTTTCATATATAATTAATATCTCAGTGATTGGAATTTAGAAGATGAGCAGATTGCGTAGAGTTTAATGGCCTAACCCTTAACTCTTAGTAACAAATCTTGGTCAAGTCAGATATGTTTGGCAGAAATGACATTATGAAGTTTAGTAGTGACTTGAATTATTCAATATCACTGTTAGAAAACAAAAAACCTTTGTCATTTAGCTACTGAGAATGACAGAAGCAAGATGACTGTTCTTTAACACATACAGAAACGACTTTCCACAGAGGGATCTAAGAGAACATTCTAGCACTCTACTCTTCTAGGCTTTAAGCCAAATTTGCCTCGAGCTTTCATAGGAGAGAAAACTCAGTTCAGTTTTCATGACTTACATACAAATCAGGTGTAACAAAATTGCTTCATAAAAAATTTATAGATCTAAACTTGTCCCTGTTTCCACAAACTGAAATTAACTCAACACACTTTTCCTGGCTTATATCATTTTGATAAGTCATCTCTGTACATTTTGTGTAATACTTTTTTGGTAATGACTGCTACTATTTCAGAAGTTTTTTTAATCCTTTCTTGTTCAACTATAGCTTATTTCCCAAGATTTTTTTTTTAATTTTGCATAAAGAGGAATGAAGCTGTAATCATGAGAAGTTTTATTGTTTTATATTTTCTTAAAAAACAACTAAAGTATTTCTTTGCCATCTAATAGCTGAATTAATACCCTTCAGGTTTCAGACATCAATTTGAAGGCAGCAAGCAGTTTCTCCCATGGCCCATACCATGACACTTTAAACACTCAGCTGAAGGTTGGTGCCCACCGGGCAGCAGTAAACTCACTTTCTACCAATTGATTATCTGTCACACGACTTTAACGGTCACATAAGACATTTTCTCTATCAGTCAAGAAATGTAAACACCTGTTCTAGTGCTAATTTAGCTCCCAATTGCTTATGAGAATCAAATTTAAAAGAGATACGTGACTATGTCTTATATAGAATAGTTTTTTGCTTCACCTCACACTGTGCTCTTAAAGAGCAGTATTTCTACAGTGCTTACCTTTACACTAACCATCATAATAACAGATTCATCGAATCACGAGACCCAGAAAGCAGACAAGCCTGAAGTTAGTATTTATGCAACAGTTGTCAACTGTTTATAGGTTTCTCATTTCTAAAAAGGTCAAAGTAAAGGGTTATTCTTCTTAGTTTCAGATGGAGGAAAACACCAGGAAGTACTAGCTGAAAATTGAATAGCAAGTATATCAACACAATTAACAGAATGCATTTGTGTAGTAGTCACCTGATACAGGAAGAAATCACAGAAGGCCGGGTTCAGTGGTTCATGCCTGTTTTCCCAGCAGTTTTGGGAGGCCAAGGCGGGTAGATCACCTGAGGTCAGGAGTTAGAGACCAACCTGGCCAACATGGTGAGATGCCATCTCTACTAAAAATACAAAAAATTAGCCGGGCATGGTGGCGGGCACCTGTAATCCCAGCTACTTGGGAGGCTGAGGCAGGAGAATCGCTTTATCCCGGGAGATAGAGGTTGCAGTGAGCCGAGATGGTGCCACTGCACTCCAGTCTGGGCAACAAAAGCAAAACTTCACTTTCTTTTTTCTCCAAAAAGAAAAAAAGGAAATCACAGGAGAGGAGAGGAGAGGAAGGGAAGGAGAAAAGAGAGGGGAGGATAAAGGAAAGAAGAGAATGGGGAAGGAGAAGAGAAATTAGAAATGATGTAACTCCAAAATTATATTTTTAAAGGAAAGTCTTCCTCCACTATATTTATTACTATTTAAATCAAATTCTACCTCCTTGAAAAGAATGTGTCCCTCTTTTAAATAAGTTATCAGACATATTCTCTAAAATAATAAGCTTGCTCTCTTTGCTCCACGTAGTTATTTCTTTAACTTAATTGTGTGGTCAAATAATATTTGAAAGTGTTTTAGAATATTTTTATATGCCATAGAGTATTGAGTATACATAGTCTTAGACTAGTGGATCACATTATGACAGATTTCACCTCTACCCAAATCCACTATATTTTTGGCAGTTTGATGTTTGCCATACACAAATGATAGGAGAAAAATAAAGCATTAAAAATAAAATTCTGCATTAATAGTGATGGATAACACATAGAAATTTCACGAATTCACTTTTCTTTGTCACTTCTTAGCAGTAACTATCTGACATCATATGGTGTTTTAAATCTACATAAAATGCAACCATTACAATATGTCTCAAAAATTAGACCTACCTATAAGATGTAAAGGCATGTTTATCATCTGCTAATCACTCAGCAAATCACATCTTAAGATTGAATGTGTTTCTATCAACAAAATTTTAGCCTACATTTTTCTGTCAGTTTTCTATCAGTTGTGAGACTTGATAACTTTTTTACTAATGAAGTAACTCATATATATATATATAATGAAGTTACTCATGTATATATGAATATATATCTGTATATATGAGTTATGTTAGTTTAAGGTATACTTTTGAGTTTGGACTAGTATCTATTCCATATATATCTATGGAATAGATATATATGTATATATGCTAGAGTGGAGTATAGATATATAGAGAGCTATACAGAGAGATAAATATGGAATATATGTGTTTGTGTGTGTGTATATATATATATGGATATGGATTAGATGGTAGACCAAACTCAAATGTATACCTTAAACTAACAAGTTTTGTCAATTGTAAGAGAAGTCTATAAAAGAGAGAACTAGGAAATAGGCAACATGTGGGATTTGGAAATAGGTTGTGAGGGAATAAAATCAGTGTTGAATATCTCCCTAATACTTCCTTCGTGGTTAATCGTAGCAGTTCTTTAGTTATTGAATAAATGTTCTCTGAGGTACCCTCTCTGTTTGCCTGCCTGTGCTTTAGGTACAATGCTGTATGTGTAACACCTCTTTTGACATTTTTACCTGAGCTTCTCTTCATTCTATGATTTGTGTTAGGTGCAAAGGAAATGGCAAAGATAGCGTGAGACTTCCTCTCTGCTATTCTGAATCAACTAACAGGAAAATTATGAACACATGTGTATTCAAAAACTGTATTTGCAATTACTGAGTCTATAATTAAGAATAATGTTTAAGGGCTGGGCGCGGTGGCTCACGCCTGTAATCCCAGCACTTTGGGAGGCTGAGGCGGGCGGATCATGAGGTCAGCAGATCCAGACCACCCTCGCTAACATGGTGAAACCCCGTCTCTACTAAAAATACAAAAAAAATTAGCAGGACGTGGTGGTGGGCGCCTGTAATCCCAGCTACTTGGGAGGCTGTGGCAGGAGAATTGCTTGAACCCGGGAGGCGGAGGTTGCAATGAGCCGAGATCGCGCCACTGCACTCCAGCCTGGGCGACAGAGCGAGACTCTGTCTCAAAATAATAATAATAATAATAATAATAATAATGATGATGTTTAATATTATTTATTTATCCGTTGGAAAGAGATTTGGATGAGCCTTATACTCAAATACCAAACATTCTGACAGCCTCACTGCTATTCTGAGTAGCCATGTTAGAAAATGGATTAACAACCCGGATTTCTGTAAACCACATATCCAATAATTTCATTTCTATAGCAAAGGACATGCAGTCCTGAGCCAACATTAAAATGTCTTTACAGTCCACTAACAATGTTTATCAATATTTTCCTTTCCATATTTCATGTGA